TTGTAAATGACGCTGTTTGGTCGGTATCTATATTTTCCATTCTCTAAAATGATGGTTGGTTATGGATGAAGGCGATATCAAAGTGACAATTTATAGGTCATTAAGGTGAACGTGGTAATGGGATTTTGTCGTGATGTCAAACAAGATTCTATCACATAATGAGTCTGTATCTATCTGATTTACAAAGTGGAGCTCATGCACGGGGTACGGTGATGGTATTCCTACGTGCTTTATAAACACACGTATTGTACCTAGAACCTTCCTGTACGTGGGACCTTCGTAGGGACACCATAGGGGGCTTAGGTATTCATGAGCATGCGCCCCCACAAGTGTATTGTCTCCCGGTGTCTTCAAGGAGTGAAAATTAAGTCTGACCCCAATTTCTCCAGAAATAACAATAGCCGACGCCTGGTCGCAAAATTTTGTTTATACCACTGAAATTTGGTAGTCTTACATTCATAAAAAAAAATTGCGATGGATGTTTCGTTTAAAATTCATAATTATATCAAAAATATGCGTTTCAAACATTTTTCGTATAGAATGTAAAACATTGAAAAAGTACTGGCTTACACGTTACACGGAAACCATTAGAAAGACTAACAGTTTTGAAGTGATTCAAAGCTTTTCAGTCATCAGTGATGTTAAATTGTGTCAAGTGGTTTGCTATTGTCAGGTATCCATCTTTGCCAACTCTACATACACCCGTAGACTTTTTACTGCCCCTTGCAGTATTGTTCTTGGTATACAAGCACGGACATCTGAATCGTAACATATATTAACATTATCCCCTCATGTCTCTACTAGGCGAGTATAGACTCACAGGAGCCGGTATTGAGTCCAATTTTCTTTTACCTGTATATCTTAAAGGAAGAGGACAATTGATTCAAGCACATGCAGTCATGTTTCCCTTTCGAATACTGACCAATTAAATTCATATCAGTAGGTCACGTCTCGATGACCTTTCAGTCAATTAACATCGACCAATCAAATTGTTGCTTTCTGAGACATCGATTTGCACGAATCGATTCAAGCAAGATGGCGACTTATCCTTTTGCAAAAAAGAAAACCTGGACAAAGTTATATCATTAATACTTAAAAGTATTGCCGTGAATTATGATATGCTTTTAATTAAGTTGTATAATGACAGAAATGACAATGAAGGAAACTAACACAGATGTGTGTCCACTTGCGTTTCTGCCATACACACACATAGCCAGTTTTTGCACGTGTTTTACACGTGTTTGTGCACAAAAGATCGTTATGTTCCTCCAGGTCTCCATATAAACGTACACAGCCGGGAGAACGACATCACATCTTGACGACCTAGAGGGCTGTGTAGGGAAACTTTTAGAGTTGTCAATGGCGGATAAATGTCACAAATGGCAATTGCATCTGAGCGGAAGTATGTTCTGTCGGGGCACGGAATGGATGGATACACAGTAACCGACATCATAGCCCAACGCTCTGCACAAACGTGCGTTCTCGTTTGGTGAAAACACAGATAAAACGACTTGAAATGTCAGAACAGTGGGTACACAAAAGTCTGCTAATGTCAGTGACTCTTTGAACAAAGCATTATCTTGTCATTCAATAGTTCCAATTGTCTAAGCAAGCATAACTAACGACTTCACAGTGACGGTAATATTAGCCAAAACATGTTTTTTGCTGATCTTATCTGTTTAAAAGGATTGCTTTTTCTGATATGTAGGACAAAGTTTTTCTCTCTCTCGCTAAATGCCTATAACTGTTATTTATATATTTTTTAATTTTTGAACTTCATTCAGTTACGATTTTTTTTATAGTTTCCTCTTGTCCTTTATGGGGTTCGTTGATAAGTGTTCTTTTATGCTTTTTTAAAAAGTATTGGGGGTGAGGACGTAGTATGGAAGACAACAATATACCTATACATATAAAACAGCCAAATTCGTTTGGGGTTTTAAAGGTCGGCCGTGTAATATCATATTTAAGAAATCTTAAGAAAGATCCAAAGGCTTTGAAGGTATTGAAACGCTTGTGAAGCGGTTCTAAACGGCGCGCTCATCAGCGTGTTCGTCTGACGAGAACAGCCACCAGAGCAACTGTTCCGACTTATATATTGATGTTTGATGTGTGTGACATGGGTTTGTCTAATAATTTATTTAGGCATAAATCATCAGATATATTCTCTATAAGCATTTCTATAGACGACTATGAAAGTTAAGGTCTAAGGTCGTGTTTTGTACTGGGCCGGTCGTGCCCTTTTTGCCAATAATGGACCCAGCTGAAAACCTCCCTATAAACATAACATGACCAAGCCTATTAGTCCACGCTGTGAAATGCAATTAAATCCAAAGGCATGTGAAAAATTTTGAACGGTCATAAAGTAGATTGATTGATCAGTTTTTATGTTTCTATTGCCTTTTTGACCTGTTGTCGACACTCGAGAGTATGAAATAAGAAACAGATTTTATGTACTTGACAACAAACCATTGCTAAAGCTCGGAACGTTCAAGTCATAAAAATGGTACAAATAGCATAACCAATATTCCCCGGGGAGCCTAGTTAAGTCGTCCCCGACTCTGATTCATTGCCGGCGTGAAATGGTGTATTGCTTCTCTAGCCGGGTCATGCTAATGAAGAGCGGCTCACAAACCTTCACGCTTCACCTGTGATATTGGGCAAACGAACGACCGCACTTCACATTTAAAACTTACTCCGATACAACGCATACACACGGGCCTCCAATACTTCTTTATTGTCTTGGCAGAAGAATTGTTGTTTTCATTTTTTGGTCTATTTTCCTCCAAAGGGTTTTCGATGTGTGGTGTCCTTTTTCAGATTGTATTTGTATCTTCATTAAGAAATCCTTTGAGTGCCATGCCAACTCTCCTCAAGCTTTTGTATCGGTAAATATGAGGCATCGATGCTTCCTAAATGTTTATGATTGTACGATGAAGTCACGCTGTTTCGAATACAAGTGTGGCTGTCTCATCATATTTAAGCAAGTTCAAATTTGACATAAGTCAATGGTCTTGGACGTGCTTGAGATTTAAAACATGTATACAGACAATGTTAATGATAAATATAGCAAATTGGAAAACAGTTATTTCGTAAAATGTAATAACGATAATATCTTAATTGTCAATAACTGTTTACGAACGTGTGAGAAAACACCAGTGTCGAATTTCTCACCGTCCTTGTTAGCTTAACGGCTATTAAAAACAAACTCATGCAATAATTATAGAAAAAAATAATCCAAATACAAACAAACTAAATTAAAATTATTTATGTAAACAATGCAATTTGCAAATATAGAAATATAATACAGAATTTGTTTCTTATTGTTATATCAAAATATCTGATAAAAGTGTTTTATTTCGTAACACTTTGAGCAGACTATACTTGTATCGGGCCCCGGATCGTCTTGCAGTGACAGGTGTTCAATAAGTACATATGACAGATCTATAGCGATGTCACAGTAGATAGCGACACACACGTTACCCATCAACACGTCACCACAACACGTGCAGCCATTAAGTGTCCTTTCCTGTCAAACTAAATGCCGACCTGCCTTGGGTGTTCTTGCAGGTGTTCCGGGTTCTTTCTAAACCGAAAGTATACCTGGGAAACACTCTATAATGGGTATAGCACAGAACATTGATATAACAATTACAATGTGTGAAATATCATATCATCGAGTATGTATTACAATATTTTGACTTTGCTAATAATAAGATTTGCTTATAATCAATTTTAAAACATTTTTTCACAAGCAAAATATCAACATTTCCTTTTAAATATAAGAAAATGACAAAAATCAATTATATCGATTTTAGTCTTTGTAAAATTACTTCCAGCATTTTTAGATTTGTACAGCTTGGTAGACTGGAACAATATGGAGACAGACTCGATAACTGAGTACAGTATGTCTGTCCTTCATTATGGCCATCAATGTGCTTACATGTATTTTTCGCAAAGCTGTATTTCTTGATTGACATATTTAAAGAAAAAACGAACAAATTGTGTTAGACGGTTTTTTTAACCGAGTTAAAAAACATACAGTTTTTAGTTTCAGCTTACATGAGTTAATTAAAGAAGTAACAAAAAGTAGAATTTTTAAAGTGTAAGAAAACAATCGAGCAGGGACACGATAATTTATTACAGGCTTCACATGATGTAAAGAGCGTCCGAAGGGAGGTGGACAGGGACATTATACCTAGTGATCTTCTTAAACCCTAAAACGATTAATAATATACCCTTCATATCAATATAGGTTCAAACAAACATTCTGGGACTATTTCTCACGTGTCTGTGACCGAACTCTGTGCTGCTCCATTGAGTTCGACAATGTCCATGAAATTGCGTGTTTCTTTATATCGGAACCCGTTGTGCGGTCCTCGACGTTTGTTTAATTATGAAGATGAAATTGATCGATTACACAGCAACACGTGTCCGATTTGACGCGTGATGTAACAAAACGTTGATACATATCATACCTAATCATACAGACGTGATGCACTCGGCGATAATTAAAAGTGATGCACTTGGACATAATTTGTCTGGCAAACTAATCACAAAATAGTCGTATTTTAATCAACTTTGATATCAGCGGTACAGATGTCGGGATGACCTAGATAAGAATTCAAATTTAAACTAATTGACGTGCTAATGGATTGAGAAAAAACGCCATTCAGGGATCAGTTCAGCTGTGAAAGTTGTTTTAATCCATTTGCACATTTACCTCTTAAAAATCAGGCTAACACAAATTGTACTGTTGAATACCACAGGTACTAAGAACAAGTAGTAGCCTTGCTCAAGTCAGAGATTTTAAAGTTATATATGTATAGGGGATGTATCAATCGATTCAAAACCTGTGGTAAAAACAACTGAATTATTAAGTCAATGTGTTTATAATTGCTATTGTTTAGATGTTAACTGTATTTTTGATATCATCGCTCTATGATACCATCATGCATATTAATTATTTTCATATAAAGAATTTTATCATCTCTGAATTTCAGGTACGAGAGAGACCGCATTTATTTACGCCATTTTGAGTGCTGGAGTTGTGCACGCGGTGACGACGGCGTGTAGTCTTGGTAACTTGACTGACTGCTCGTGCGATACGTCACGTTACGGCGAGCACACGGTGGAGGGGTGGAAGTGGGGAGGATGTAGTGACAATATCCATTACGGTGTGTCCTTTAGCAAACGTTTCGTCGACGCCCCGGAGACACTGATGCATCAAAGTTCACAGAATCTCCGCAATAAAATGAATCTACACAACAACGAAGTAGGACGTCAGGTAAGGCGCCATCTTGAATCTCTCCCCTACAATGGAACCTCCTCATTCCGGACAACTCTGTCATGTGTGAAAGATAAAATCGTTAGTCCGGACATTAGGTATCTGTGTACGATTTAACCCCATTTGTGGTTTCTGTGAATAGCGGAACCTCTCTAGCGCGGATAATTTGATTTCATTTGAATCTCCCTAGTCTAGACATTCTTGTTTTTGTGGTCAGTTAAACCTTGTTACACCGGCCACTCTACGATTTCTGTCTAAAGTATTACTTGGTCAGTCCGGACACTTTAGTTTTTGTGTTCAGTGCAACCTTTTTAGTCCAGACATTTTAGTTTCTGTGCACGTTAGAACCTTTGTTAGTTCGGACACATTAATTTCTATGTACAGTAGAATCTCGTTATTCCAAACACGTTAGTTCTGTTTTCAGTAGAACCTTGTTAGTCTGCTCACACTAGTTTGTGTGTACAGTGGAACCTCATTGGTTTAGACACTTTATCGTTTCTGTTGTAATATAACCTCCTTAGTCCGAACAGTTTAGCTCTGTGTACAGCAGATCGTTGTTATTTCGGACACTTTTGTTCCTGTTTCCGGTAAAATCTCGTTAGTCTCGGGTTTGGCCTCTCGCAGATTACCAATTTCGGATTATAAGGAGATGCCATCACACATTTATAACCACCATCAATGTGGGTGGTATTTGTGTAGTCTAGTCTCTACAATAAAGTTCTAAGTGTTTAACCGTATATATCTATTTATAGCATTCCATTGGTAAAACAATGCCTCGGTGGCAGGCATCACATCGTAAATCCAATTGAACTTAACAATTATAAAAAAAGAAACAAGCAAAAACCTTTCGGAAATATGGGTCAAATATAAAAAATGGAGCCAAATTTACGGAGTAGTCAAGGTCAGCATTACGTACTCTAAACGACCAGCTTATCAAGCATCAAAGTTAGAATGAAAAAATTGACCCGATTCCAAACAAAAAGGCACTGACGTAAGTGCTGGGTAATTGAACCCGTTGACCCGGAAACAATTTTTAATGTGTTGCTGAATCGGAGCTGGGTGTAGAAAAAAATACTACATCAAACAGTGGCCCCTACCGGCTTATTATGTCACTACGACCGATAATCTCACAAGGTCAAATAGACTTTTTGTAATATTTTACTTTAAAAATACCGTAAAAATGGTAATATATAATAATAATAAGCTGATTTTTTTTGGTTAAAGAATAGAACAATGGTTCAATTATTTGTTGGCAGTTAAGCACCATTGTCACTAAACATGTCTATGTATAATAAAAGTACATTCATAAAATAAAGTATTGGCTACATTGAATATGTAGCTTTGAAGAGCAGACTACTATATGAACCCAAATACGGTAATACATTTATTTTTAGTTTTAAGACAAATTGTCAATGTAATTCATACTTCTGATTGTCTTTGATGAACCAACTTGAAGCCATAATATTCTCGTTGTCTTTTGGTTCAGATTTCGTGTTTTAATTGATGTTTTCCGCTCAAAAGAAATTCAATATTTTAAAACGATGAAAACGCAGTTTTAAGGATTTGACAGGAAGTATGGTAAACGAATATACGGCTTTAGACCGAGTATAAACTAGCTCTAACAACCGCACTTAGTATTTGATATGAAGGCTAAGCAAAACAGTATACAAGTTTCATATCAGTCTCAAAACTACGGTAGGTATTTGGAAATTATGTAAAACACATTTATTTTGTAGATGCTTCTTACGTTAACAGTCTAGAACAATGATATAGTTTTTTTTTCTCTTACAAATCGAAATATCAAATACATTGAATGAATATATTTCTTCGTGAAAAATAGCGACAAGGTATGATAACAGAAAAAGACATATTCGTGAGATTGGCCTCAGTCATGTTTCAGTGAGATAAGAGGTGATGATCTATAAGAAGGCAGGAGAGCTATATCGTCCACACCGCTATTAAGATAGTCGTATGAAATGATACATGAACACGTTAGTTGTAATGCCGTACGGGATGACAAATACCATTAACTACTTCAACAAAGGCCGCCAAATATCGCCCCACATTATTGTTAATTTCGATCTAGAATGTGAAACACATAAAACGAGTTATCGGCCTTTGATGGTCGGCAGGTTCGCGGTTGTGATTAAACGACGTTGGTTAACGTCCGCCATTAATTCTCGTCTGCTTAAGCGACTACAGATGACATGGCGAGCATTTGTCACGTCGGGCCCGAACCAAGTACGCCGGCTAATGCTAACCAAGTGCACCCCATATTGCAACACTTCAACAGTATCGGAAGAAATTATCTTTACTTCATTAAGCTCATTAAACTTACTTTATGTACTGCTGTGGTAAACAAGTTCGTACAATTTTTTTGTGAGTTTCTAATCATCCAATCTGGATTAGTGTGGACTGTGACGTCGGAATAACATATTTGTTAGACGTCATGATATTTGAAATCAGTATTAAGTCACTGGATTTAAACTGATTTTCTGTGGTGTTGTTGTCTGAAGACAGTGACTTTCGCTCCTTTAACCGAGAATATAGCAGGTTTGTGCCGGGACGCGGCGTTCGTCCGTCGTCCTTATAACCAGTCCGTTTAAAGCTACTCCGTTAAAATAGCTGAGCGGATTTTAACTGAACGTGGCATGAAGCGTGCCTGAATCATGGACCCAATTTAATATAAATAAGGTGTTGGACCCCAGAGAAAGCAGCGGGTAGAGGTAGAAGATTTTAGATGAAATTGTCAACCCGGGTATTTCCCTACAGAGACAACTAATGGACCGACTCTCTTTAAAGGAAAACTAAAAGCGTATATTGTACATTCATGATAGATCATTTTTAAATAATTTGTGAACGGTAAATATTCTTGTTATTAAAACAGGTACGCTAACTCGAATGCTCGCGGAAACACATACTTCTTACCTGCATATAACATAAAGAACAGTCTAGAAATTTATATCAGAAAAACTCATGTCTGCATTTCATTTTGTTCAGAATGATTCGCCAGAAGTTATGTGTGTAGGTCCAATCTGGTCCTGACTTCCACGGACATTAAACACGTTCACAGAGTAATGTATCCAAATAATAACAATTTATTTATGGTGTTTGGAAATATATTTATAGATATATTTCCTTGAAGGATGAATTATTCAAGAAATACGTAAATATGTAAGAATACAGTTGTGATGAATTTTCTGGTTTCGGTATGTGACTACCTGTACTCTCGCAGTGATTTTACGCCGTATGAGTTTACGAGCGTTCAGTCAGACGAGTGACAATCCGTTATCATTATTAATTGGAAACTTGACAGCTTATGTGTTCATTTATCGGTCTACTGGCTTCATGTAGTAGCTGTGGTCATTTGTGGTCAGTTGACCGAGTCTGGCCGGTGTCGAAACGAATTGGTCAGTGATTTACTAGATGACGGTCAAAGTGTTCAAAATAGATATGCACTGTTACAATATGTATTTAGATTGGTTCAAGTTTTATACCAATTACTGTTAGCGTGGTGTTCATGTATTAATTTATGAATAAATGGGATGTGCTATGTCTATCTATGGGAGTCACGCAACCTCGCAGTTTGTCAATTATATGACAATGTTATGTTCTGTTGTGCATTTGGTAAACTCATTTGAATCTTCTCGAATCTTCTTTTAAAATTGCTCTAACATACATTTTATTTACTATGTAAAGATATGCATAAGCAGAATCTACGAACATCTTTAATACTTTGCTTGGACACCGTATTTGTCAATTCCAGGAAATCAACCTATATTCCAAATACCATATGGTTCTATCGACAGACAAATCGATATTAAAGATAGCCCATAACCCTTTCATAACATAAAATTATGTCATAAATACCATATAGCCGAAAAGGATATCTAAAATTTCATAAGATCATATCGTCCAAACTTTAACCAAAATATCATATCGTCCTATCAGCTGGAAAAACGTTAACCAAAATATCATACCGCCCTATCGGCTGACAAAATGACACCCAAAATATCATATCGACCTATCACCTGGCGAAACGATACCCCAAATATCATTGTTTTGTCCTATCAGCTGAAAAAACGATACCCCAAATATCGTATCGCCCTATCAGCTGGCAAAACGATACCCCAAATATCATGTCGCCCTATCACCTGGCAAAACAATACGCCAAATATCATGTCGCCCTATCACCTGGCAAAACGATACCCCAAATATCATGTCGCCGTATCACCTGGCAAAACGATACCCAAAGTATCACGTCGTCCTATCACCTGGCAAAACGATACCCAGCTGACTATCATATCACCCTATCAGCTGACAAAACGTTAACCAAACTATCATATCGCCCTATCAGCTGACAAAACGATACCCAAACTATCATTGTATCGCTCTATCAGCTGACAAAACGATACCCATATGTCATGTCTACCTATTAGCTGGCAAAACGTTAACCAAAATATCATGTTTACCTATCAGCTGACAAAACGATATCCCAAATATCCTAAGGTCATTTTGTCAGACAAAGCGATATCTTAGCCCTATACACAGAGTTTCTCCGGTCCCTTGTATGATGTTGAGCTAAACGATTCTGGGCTGGATAAAAATATACGGATTGGGGTGTCAGAATACATCACTACCTCTAATCTTGATCTGAATCTAACTAACTGTCACACGGGTAATATGAAAAAACACCCGGATGTAGGATGTTGAGTTTGTTGATATAACCCGTTATTTGAACATCGATGGGGATCCCCATTGACATGAACATCTCAGTAAATATAAAATAGATCACCTGTCAAAGCGCCTCCATCCGTCTTATAGATATACAGACAGTGACTTAAATGGATAACTATTACTGAAAAGTGTCTTGTTCAGCCATCATGAATTATTCATATCACAAATGCATCATATTATGATAAATGTATTTTCATATTCTCATATGTACTCATATAACGGGCGATCTAACTACCATTGCATTCTTTTCAGATATTACTCGA